CTTGAGGAACCGAAACCGAGGTGGCGGTAGCCGTAAAACGAGCTATGACTGACAACAAGGGCAAAAAGGTCATGTCGCAATCACGCTGATTGCAAAATAGCAACAAACGACCGCGCATTGAGCCTACATTTCATACTGCGGCTGCGCGCGATACAGCATACTCGATGACAAACAATGACATAAGCATAACTCCCAACACCATGTGATACAATTCACCGAAAGGTGAGACAAAAAAAGCTTCATTTAAAAGGAGGTTTTGCAAAACCTCATTTACCAAAAAGAAAAAACACAGTCGTGCTCTCCGAAAATGTAATACCACTGCATATGAAGCTGAGGTTATAGCTTTTGCAGATATCATAATATCAGTCGTATCCTCACTGCTTATAGCAGGGAGTTTAGGAGCAGGGTGCAGGGAGCCACTGATAGAGAGAGCTCGGGTAGGAACTGATGAAGCTCACCTTACTTTTCCCTAACAGAAACGGATGAGCATTTACCGTGGCGCAAACTGGTGCTGAAAGCTGGTGCTGGAAGCTGGTGCTGGAACTGGAGAGGTAAAGGCGAAACCTTGTTTTGATGTTGCTGACTCTACAGATCTTTAAAGGGCAACCGGAACATTGCGCAGGGAAAATGTGTGAACCAGTGCAATATTTGAGCGGTATGAACGAATTATGACAGATTTTCGCTGCATTATTTGATAACGGCGGTGCATGTGCGCCCGGCACCCGCCGCCGGGTGTTAATGCAGGGCCAATCGCCGCTTGGCTTACGGAAACTCAACCGCCACCATCAGCGTCCTTGCTCTTAAAATTGCGAGAGCGCATGCTTTAAGCAATTTATCAAATGTGTTTTACTCGTCGCTTGTGTGAAAGAATGAGCACCCTCAGGGAAATGTCTCCAGGCATGAATTGAATTTTTTATGTCATTTAGGTCCACCCTACTGCACGTTGAGGAGATCATTTACCTTTTCCGGGCAAAAGGTCGCCATGGTAGAACATTAGGACCACATAATCGTTCCCGGTCACGGGTTGAGAGGCCATTCGGTCTCAGCGTGGGGTACCTACTGGCTGCCATTCTGGCGACATGGGAGCGGGATTCCCTGGCCGATTCAGAGGCCCTTAGACGGGTTTCTTATATTATTGATCCCCTTCACGAAGTGGAAGGCCCTCTAAAGTTG